GCTGCATAATCGACGGGGATAAGGTTAATATTTGAAATGGACTTCCACTGGATCGTTCGACTTTATCGACGTGGTTTCATTGCCGCCTGAAATTTCACGCGATTTGGCGGAAATTTCGGAGGAGGGGGGTGGGAGAGGGGGTATTTTAGGACGGGACTTTATGGGACTTTGATGGAACGTGAAAGAAGGGGAAATTTGTAAACGAGAAGATCGATGGAAACATTGTAAATCGTGAAGCTTAAAAATCGTACAATTAAAATATTGCAAGGAAGAAATTGAAATATAAATATAATATATAATGGATAAATTATAAATCATACGTTGTTGATTATACGAGAGAATTATTAATTTCGTATTATTCCGTTCATTTTAATTTCTTTCTTTTTTTCTTTTATCTTGTACATTGTACGATGAATCGATAAATCAATTTCAATTATTAATTTATTCGGAGGATCACGCCATATATAGCAAACATTAAATTTATAATTGCGTAATAAAATACCTCACCATTTGTTGTACCGATAATATATCTTGAAATTTATCATGGAAAATTTTTAAAATGAAATTTAAGGGAAAAATACAATCGAAACCTAGACGATTCTTTCCTTACAAAGATAAAGACAAACTTGTGCTTCGTAAGTTCGTCTCTCTCTCTCTCGTTAATTAATTCGAGTTTTCGAGACATCGTTGTCTCTAACGCCCCGGATAAAAGGCGAATGCCTCGCGGAGAACGCGGTTTCAAGCGATCGTTTAACACGAACGAGACTTTAAAATCGTCTAATAGAACACTGTTAACGAGGGGAAACGTGAAACGATGCGAAACACGAGAGAACGGAAAGAAGCACCCCTACTCCGTCCCTCGTTGAAATGACTTCGTTTGAGTAATTAAAATGCAGTCGTGGCCTCGCGAAAAATTCTGGTTTCGAAAAAAGTGGCGAGACACGCGATTTTCAAAGGTTTCGTCGCTGTTTGATGGGAACGGTTTAAGTTGGCCGCCGATAGAAGCCTCTCTCCTCTCCTTGATAAAAAAAAAAGTGAAGTACGATTTGAAGTGTGAATCGCACGAAGTGGTTGTAGATTCCTTTGAAACGTGTTACGATTCGAATACGAGTTAAAAACCTTGTTTTATTAAATAATAATTTGGAAATATAATTCAATGAAACAATATAGAAGAAAAGGTGATCAATAAAAACTTCAAAATTCTTCAATTTCAATTCACAATAGAATATCCACAATACAATAATCGATATATATATATAAATATAAAACGTACATGCGCCATACACGATTCGTTTATCGCACGAAACACGTCCTTATTCAATTACCGCGCGATGTAATCGAATAAAGCGTTGGGCCGCCATTAATTTCAAAGCAAGCTTCCCGGTGTACAAAGATGGGGGAGGGTAGGAGGATGGCTCGAAATTTTCACCGTGAGTTTTCAATGGGGAGGGCAGCCGCGATCAAGGACAAAGCTGGACCAACAACGCTCGCAATCCTTTTTCCACACCCTTCTTCCCCCATTTCCTCCCTTTATTTCCCCTCAAAGTCGTTGCAACCCCACCTACATCCTTCCACGCATCGCCTTTCCCATGCCTTTTCCCGCATTTCCGACTGCTTCCGACTGCGGGGAGGAAGCGTCATCGCCAGCCACCATCAGGTTTGTCCCGGCCTTTTCACCCTTCCTCCTCCCTCATCCACCTCCCCTCCAAAGCTCGAGCAAAAGCCCTTGGAAGAGGTAGCCGGTTTTTAGAGCACGGTTGTTGTGTGCTCGCGGTGTTTAAGTGAACGAGGATGGTGGAGGAGGGGGAGGGGGAGGAGATAGGTTTTTTTGGACGCTTTGGATCGGTGGTTGGGACGATGATCGTCGTCGTGGCTCGAGTAATAACGAGGTTTCTTGCTCCAGGTTTTGGGTGTTTATATTGAATTTGGGGCTGGATCTTTGGAAATGGTGCTCGAGATTTCGTGTTTTTGTTTTTGTATTTAGAAAGTGGTTTGGGAGGTTTTGTGTTGCTTGGATTCGACGGTAATCTTTTACGATTGGTTGTTTAAATGATTAAATGATATTGGGTGTATTGGGTAATATGAATTGTAAGTTGTGCAACTTGAGAAATTTCAATGAGTTATATTTTATTTATAAAAGTAGTGATGAGAATTAGAAATAGGAAATTATCGCTTATTTTGGAAGAAAAATTTTAAAGGATTATGAACGTTTTATGGATTAATTATACAAGTTCTGGAGTTCTTTTCTGGAAGATTCCAAAGAGGAATTATTTAATTAATAAAGTGATAAGGTTTATTTGATGTTTTAAATTTTGTGTAAGATGATTAAACGATAATGATAACGTTAAGCTTTTTTATTCTTAAGATCTGATATTAGTAAAAATGATGATCCTTTGATAATGAAGATGTTTCTTTTTGGGTTTGATAGAGGATAATTAAGGTGATGATATTAGATGTGGATTTAATCCTTGAAGTAATTTACCGGATTTTTCATTCGGCAACGAATAGAATTCTTCTTTCTGATGAGTATAAAAAAGAAGCAATTAAGGTAATAACATTGAAAAAAAAGTGATAATGTTTGTTTGATAATGAAGAAGATCGGATAAAAACTGGTTGAGATAATGACGTTAACTTTGGCTTTAATTCTTGATACTAATTCAGTGTTTAATTTTTCATTTATTCAGAATAAAATGCTTTTTTTTTCAATTCAAAGTGTAAGAAAAAGATGCTCAAAGTAGTGATGATGAGTTTGTGTTTAATTTTTTAAATTGGTAGAGTTTTTTTTTTTTCCAAAAAATTTGGAAGAAGTGATAACGTTGAATAAAAAATATATACAATTTAACAAGTAATTTTTCAAAACAAACAGCTTTAAAATTTTTAATTATCTCTGTTTGTGTTCAAATACACAAGTAAATTTCGGTCGATAACGTTTTCAGTTGCGTGCATAAAAAGCAAATAGCTAAAAAAATCGTGAAATAAAAACTCTTATATGTCGAAATTTGAATAAATTGATTAATACAAATACAATATTTAAAATTATTTTACAATTCTTCCTTCAATTAATATTACTTATGAATAAAGTATCAAGCATTTTGACCCTAATTTTGACAATATTATCTAATCCCATTAATTTCTGTCCATTCCTCAATAGGATTTGCATACGTTGTTTCGATAAAGCGGGGAACAATCCTCTTAAAACGAAGTTAGGGACACTTTAGCAAAACTTGGAACTAATTTCACTTTCATGGAGAGTTCATGTTTAAAAGACCGTAAGCCTACGTTCTGTATCATTTAACATGAAATTTCAGGTCGGTTGAATCTCGAGCTCAAAGTTCATCGATTTAAAAAATCTTCTCGGGTTTCTTTTCTATCGCCTAAAGTGTGCTATCAACGTCGCCCCGTTAATATCGATTACTTATACCCCGGTTGCTTTTATTTTAAACAGCTTACTTTGCGATGAAAATTAAAAAATTTTTTCCTGGAAAATGCACGTTCTATAGAAATTTTTATTACATTATTCCTTTTGCAATATGCGTTCCATTCTCAATCTCAAAATATTTTACGTAATTTTAATCGCCAGATTAACATTATTAATTAATCTTTTTCAAATTATCATCGTTCGATCGTTACTCTTATTGGAATGATAAAAAAGGAATGATTTCACGAACAAAAAGTTACCAACAAATAACAATTATTCTTCGACCTGTGTTATTATTTACTCTACGAATTTTTCCTTTCGTTGTTTCCCCTTTCCTATGCGCACGCAACACAACGAAAAGCCAAAGCTCCAAAGAAAAAAAAAATCGTATCTATCATAATATCTCGTGCACATATATCCAGTTCCAGTTCGTGATTCAATTGAAAAGTTTGGGTGGAGTCGGCTCGGCTCGAAGTGGTGCGAGACGATGAATGGTCAGGCATTATACGTAACAACGCGGAGCGTGTAGTTTACCTTCCTCCCTTTATTTCATCCTCACGGTTGCACCGCGCTATTTTGCGTCCGTTTCCACGAACGATTTCACAGGTTCGCCAACATTACGCTCCACCTTTTTGCCAGCGACACGTAACCCGCTACTTCCTCTCAGGAAGCTTCATTGTCGACGAAACCTCGTCGTTCCTCCCCCTTCTCTGTTTCGTGCAACCATTTCTCGGCCTTTATTTACGGTAACGAGGTTAATTTATCGACACCGTATCGTTATATCGAGCCTGGTGTTATTCGAATACGTTTTAAAATATCGATTTTCGGATTTGTTTAATTTAATTTAAGACTACTGCTCGCCATATAACTGTATCCATTCTATTTGTCTGTGCGCGAATACGTGATTCCACGCGATTGCTTCAATCTATTTATCTGACCATGGCTACGATATTCCATTCTTGCCTTATTACGATTGACTCAAGTTAGTTACGAGCGGTTTAAATTACCGCTGTCTGCCTATAACTGTCTACTTGTTTGACCACAGCATCCTTATTCTATCCACGAATGCTGTGTTCCAGACTAGACTGAGCATGACTGTTTCAATCTACTTGTTCGACCGTAACTCGATTATTCTACTTGTCTTGCCACGCCTGACTTCTTGCGTAGAACGAGTGATCTATACACAAGTGTATACACTACTTGTCCAAACAAGAGGCGTTTAAACACGAAATATAATTAACCCTTGTTATTATTTACACGTTTTTACTTATCAATCAACCCATTTTTAATCTTTCGTGAAAAGCAGAGAGAAATGAATCTCTTCCAAGGAGGAAAACTCTTCGCAAAACGATCGTACATCTCTTTAATTCCCGAGTCGTAAAAACTTTAAACCTCGTCGACTTCAAAAAAAATTCGATTGAAGAAAAAAATCTGACGATCATTAATTAGCCGTTGTTTCATCTCGTTGGAAGGAACGACGAAAAATGGTGTGGAAGTAGGGCAACGCTCGAGAAACAGCCCCCTCCCCGTGGATCACATTTCCTCGAGAGTCGATTTCTAAATTCGAAGAGGGAGGGGGGTACCCGACAAGAGACGTATTCTCCATCGATAGGGGTGTCGCCGTGGAAAGCTCGGCTTAAAGTTTAATGCGAGGGGCTTAGGCTGCGCCAGATCCGTATTACAGTAAGGCGATCGTTAACTTTGACGTGGTACGGACAGCCGTGCATGCCTGCTCGATCGGCAGAGATTAACCGAGGAAGCCTCGTCAAGAACTTGTTTCTTATCCCCCATGAAATATTCGACGACCGCTTTTTGCTATATCTGGTGGAACTGGAACGTGTCTTATCCTTTCCCGCTGTTAAATGGGATGAAACTGTTGTACCTGTGATTGTGCTTGTTTCGTTCCAAGATGATCACACACGCGAAACAACTATTACAGGATGTTGCGAAGAATTTTTACAAACGTATTGGAATTGCAGGAGATCGATTTTAATTTTTTAAGCGAAATAATTTTTGATGGAAGAGCTTGAGCTTGAGCTTGAGCTTCAATGTCAAAAAATCATTAGAAGGTAGCGTGATGAGTTGAGTTTAGTTTGTTGCAAAACTTGTTTCGAAAGATGAAGAATAAGAGTGGAAGAAAAATATTGTATTTGTAGATTTCTTTTTCTAATTTTTTTTTTCTCTTATAAATTCTACGTGAAAGAATAATTTTTATTTAATATCATAGAAAAATTTGTTAAAATGCAATTTCTAATAAAGGGATGGTTTAAATCATCCGATTTTATTTTGTTCTTTATTTTAAAAAGAAAAAAAGAAAATAAAGAGTTTTATTAGATTTCTTATTGATACAATTTGTTTTTAAAGAAAATATGTATATATACATTTTACAAATGATTTGGTATATTCGTGCGAAAAATTTTCCCTAAAGAAATATTTATTTTTATACCGTTGAAATTTTCCTCTTATTTCTTTCTATTTTCGTTTGTTTCTACATGCAACAGAGAAGAGAGTTCTTCTACTATATTCTTCTTCTATCTAAATATATTGTTATATTTGTAAAAATGGTTTCGTCATAGAACAATAGATCTCTTCGAACGAAAGTTTTTCTCTAAAATATTTTTCTAGTGCAGTTCACTAAAAAAAAAGAAGAAAGAAAAAAAAAAAGAACAAAGTGCTATTACACGTTACACTTGGAAAGAAAGTTTGAAGTGGATAAAGTTATTCAACTTTTTCCTCTGACATTTTATTTTCGTCAATAATATACGATTTCTAATATTACATTTTAAAGGAATATTTTAAATATCTTTTTTTTATTATATATATATACAAAATATTTGTAAAAATCGTTTCAATTTCAATTCGACGATGAGAAAGATATAAATATTTTTCTCTTTTATAATATATCACACATTCACTGTGTGTGTGTATGTGTGATCAATTTGATCAGAAAGTTTGATGGAGTTATTTGCTTTTTTAAATATTTTTTTTTTTTTATCTTTTTTTCTTTGATATTTATTCCTGTTCCATCAACTGCAGTGACGAAGTAATTAGCAGTAGTTACTATGGAGGCGAGTAAATGTTTATCTATTGAAGCTTGTGTAAGTTTTTTTTTTCTTTTTTTTTTTTTTTTTTAAACTTTTAATACCGAAACGATTTATGACACTTTAAATTTCCTTCCTGAAATGTTTGACAGGAATTTCCATTCCCACGCGTACACAGATTCACGATCAATCGGTTTTTAATTTGAAATCTGTCGATCACCCATTAGAATTTTCACTACCGTTAATGGACCATTAATGGCAATTGAAAATAGCTTATTAATTACTGAACGGTTTTCAATTAATAATTTATCATCTTTATTGTCGACAAGGCTATCTGTGGCTGATAAATTGATATCTATATCGAACTTGAACAGACTGGATTTTGTGTTAATTAATTTAAATCTCGATTTATATCCTTGGCTCATTAGTAACGATAATAGTTTACTCGTTAAATTGTTTAATCTTACTTTACATTTTATTAGTCTGTTCATCGTGCGAAATGTGGAATAAATTGAAATTAAGATCGAAATCAAATAATTATATAATTGAGTAATTATAATTTATCGTATGATCGATTTACGATCACGATTTATTATATTCTTCGTGTTTTCCATTTTTCATAGATAATTTGCTCTTATGATATTTTTTATTATATACGTGTATGATATATATATATATATATATATATATATATATATATATATATATATA